AATTGATTGTAACTCCAGCTTCAGGGAGACTTGACATCTTTGACCTCCACAGACACTTATATCCACCAAATGTGCAGGTACACCCACACACACACACACACACACACACACACACACACACCAACAACAACAACAACAACAAATCTTTAAAAAATAAAGAAGAAAGCATAGCTATGAGAAAAGTTCTAATTCAATCACCTTACTTTGAATCATTTTTTCTCAAAAGTCTAGTATGATAAACTTGAACACAGCCAGTTGTAACATAGATTCTTGTACTTGATATTGGGGCCCTCTGAGGAGGATGTACTGATGGAAGATGGATGTGTCTCTGAGCAGAGAAAAGACTTTTTGGATGGACTAAATGGGTGTTCCAGACCCCTGCATTGTGAAAGAGCACAGAAATAGCAGCCAAGGACAAGTCATTTGCTTCTGTTGTATGTAATGAGGATAAGGGTGGGGTATTTTAAGTGGTTTGTAGAAGTGGGCATTGGTCCTCATCACAGCCTACAGGAAAGGAGTAGTTTCCGAATTGTCAGTATTATAAGAGTGATGAAGAGAGATACTTTCTTACATTGAAAATTACTGAGTTCTAGTTGTCGGAGAACCTTGCTCACTTCACTCAACAGGCATCAATGATTAACACTGTTAAAATGTTGGGAAATCAACACATTAGGAAGACACAATGGCCAGGGTCACTCTTTGTGGGATTGTGTTGAGGAGGCATGGTTTTAAAAACATCTCAATGGAGACAAGAAAGTCTTCCCCAAAGTGCTTTCTTTTATTTTCATAGAGTTTAGAAATAATATAAATTTACATGGCATGCATGCATTTGTGCCCACCAATTGCTGTGGGATACTATTTAGACCATAGATTTAAAATAAAATCAGGAAAGAAAACCTCAGTTTTACTCATTTTCCATGTAGGTATGTCTGTGTGTACGTATATTTCATTATGTACAGGTACATGTGCACATGGTCGCACACATGAATGTAGAGACAAGAGGTTGGTGTTGAATGTTTGTTAATCACTTTTTTATTGCTTGAAACATGACCTAACGAATACAGCTAGACAAGCCAACCACCAAGCCTCAGGGACTGTTTTTAGTGCCGAAATAGTAACTTCTGAGTGAACACATAGCAAAACAGACAAATGAAGAAAACTAAATTCCAATTTGTCATAATACAATAGAACATTTTTTAAAACATAAACAAAATGTGCACTGTAACCCATGTCCTTCAATTTAATCATGTTTTCTCCAGCTGTTCATGGGCCAATCTAACCCAATCTCTACTTCCCTGGCACTGGGACCCAGGGTTCAATCCCATTGTTTTCCGTAAGTGCTGGTACTTGGGCCCTCACACTTGATTGGAAAGCCCTTAACTCACTGCCTACCGCTCTGGTCCTGGTTTTTCCCATTTCCAAAGCAAAGTATACTTGCTTTGTCATCCTTAGTCCCTCCCACTTCCATAAACTATGAAAAATTACTAGGAAATAATTTGTGAATAAACAAGTGAGTTACTTAGAAAATTGACTTCAATAGAAAATTGACTTCAAATAGAACTTAATTTCACACAATATAACTTGAGGATTGTTTAATAAATCGAGGAAACTGTGTGTTCTGATTATTCCCTGGAAAATTTAACAAATTAAGTGACTAATTTTTCTAAGATCTTAGCCAGTGACACGATTGGAAGTTTTGGTACAATTTTATTATAAGTTATAAGTAAGTATATCTAAGTGATACTTTTAAGTGAGAGTATATTAAAGCAAACTATATTTAAAAATTATGGAATCCAGCATAGAACTGACTCAGACCCCCTGAACATGGGTGTCATTTAGGAGGCCTGGGAAGTCTATGGGGCCTCTGGTAGTGGATCACTATTTATCCCTAGTGTAAGAATGGATTTGGGGAGCTTATTCCACATACTCCCTCAGCCTAGACACAAGGGGGAGTGCCTAGGCCCTGCTCCAAATGATTTAACAGACTTTGGAGATTCCCCCATGGAAGGCCTCACCCTCCCTGAGGAGCAGAAAGGGCATGGGATGGGGGTCAGTGGTGGGCAGAGAAGGAGGGAAGGGAGAGGTAACTGGGATTGATATGTAAAACAATTTGTTTCTAATTTAAATAAAAACAGTTTAAAAAGTTATCTGTTCCATTTATTTACCAGTGGTCAAGTGATTCCTCAATTTTTTTTAAAAATGGCATATTCACACTTACCAAATGTATCAAAACATTCTTTAGTATTTCAACAGCAAGAGATAAAAAGAAGACACAACAGTCATCTCACTAGCCCAGAAATAAATAGGCACAACATCTCACAGTGTCACTGAGCAACAGCAATAGCTGCAGCCACTTGGAGATCCCTAGCATCAGGATGCCAAAACTCACATGGACATTTATGCCACTCTTAAATTTGTTCACTGCAGGTGATTGTTGTAAAACAGCCAAGCTTCAATGGGTCAACGTTTCAATGGGTCAGTTTGGAGCAAATGATAACTATGGTCTGTCTTGTTGACAGGAATATTGTTTTCACATTCCATTGGAATTAAAGTATGTTCTGTCAAGCAAAGCCTTGTCTCTGGTGAGAATTCTTAGAAAAATCCATCATGTGAATTCATAGCAAAATAAATAAAGAGCAAAAGGAAGGTTGCAAATTAAAACCATAAGTACTGTGAGGAACATTGAATAAGAATTGGATGACATATTTGTTTTGCTAAATAAATAAATTCCTATTAGATTAAAGTATATCACTACAGTCTTTAAATATATATTCAATTGTTAAAATTAAGGAGAAGTATAAATATCCTTAATACCAATAGACTGTCAAAACTAATTTGAATTTCTATACAAAATGATTGTGTCAGATACATTAGATGTAATCAGTATAAAACTCTGACTTAAATTTAAAATGATCTCAATGAAGTTTTATAGTGGGAAATTACCAATATGGAGTCAGGTAGAAATATAAGGGTATTTAATAGGGAAAAGCCTTACTTACAGAGCGACCTAGCCAGCCGGCATGGCAGCAGTCTGTCCAGCAAGTACCAAAATGAAACCTAAAGAGAAAACGAAGTCACTCTACGTCACCCTGACCATGCCCTCACAAGCATGGTCAGGCACACCTGTAGCCAGCCCCTAAGTAAGCATGGCTACAGCTTCCCCTACAAAGTTTAGCCATTAAGTCATGAGTAAATGTGGCTGTGTAGATTACTCTTTGGGTAAGAACACTTGCTACACAAGTTTAAGGGTCTGAGTTCAAATACCCAAAATTCTTGACAAAAGCTGGGTGTGGTCACTTATGAACCTGTAAACATAGTGCTTTGGGAGGTTGAAGATGAGATCTCATGGAAGGTTGATGGCCACCTGCCTAGTAACAGGTTCATTGAGAAGTTTTGAATAAAATATGACACAGAGTGAGAGAACAGGACACCTGTCATCCTCCTCTGTATGACTCAGACACGCACACCCACAGCACACATGGACATATGCTACACATATATACCAGACACACCACACACCCACACACTGACACACACACACACACACACACACACACACACCAAAGTTAATACTAATAAATGTAAAGGAAAATTAACTGTTTTATAAAGGAGAAAAGATGGATAAAAAGTTGGTTACAGAATTTACAAAGCCTCACTGGGTCATGCTCTGGGTTGAAACTGCTGGGTCTTGAAAATGAATGTGCTGTGAAGGATACATAAAATAGACAGAAGTGTATTCCAGTTGAAGGGAAGACTGTGAACAAGATTTTGTTGATGAGGTACTTACCAAATCAAATTCTGTTGGAGTGACCTAATCATGCATAGCTGAACATTTCCCCAATCACATTCAAGATCACTGGAGAGACTCACATGGCACACGAAAGATGTTATGCTCAAGGTTGCCTTTATTATTCTTATTTGGAAGGAAAATGAATTAAAAGTAGGATTGGGAAAAAATTCTTAGACATAGCCCAGTAGACCTAGTGAGACTGGGACTAGCTTCCAGCCCTTATCTTTTGGCAGCAATGTGGGTGTGCATGCTTGAGTCATACAGGGGCTACAGAAGCTCAACCTGCTTTGATGTCTAGAGTTCTCATTGAGGATCAGTCCTTCAGGGACAGAATATTCCTTCCATTAGTCTTATTTGTTACTCAGCTTCAGGTCTCCAGAAGTCAATCTACTCAGAATGGACCAGGGTCTATCCGGGAATAAATTCTGACATTCACAATAAGCCATGCTGTCAGCATAGTTTATCCTGTATAGCTCGAGTTAATATCATCCCTTTATCAAGCAGGTTGTACCAGGGTTTAAAGCGGTGGTTCTCAACTGTGGGTTGCAACCCCTTTGTGGGTCAAATGACCCCTTTAAAAGGGTTGCATATCAGATATCCTGCATACAAGATATTTATATTACAATCCATAACAGTAGAGGAATTACAGTTATGAGGTAGCCATGAAAATAAAGTTATGATTGGGGGTCACCATGACATGAGGAACTGTAGTAAAGTTTTGCAGCATTAGGAAGGCTGAAAACTGCTGGTTTAAATGTTATCTCTCGGAAGCTATTTGAAGACTTCAAAACCCCCGAGTTTAATACACAATCAAGTTTATGAGATGGGGATATATAAATAAACAATAAATCTTTTAAAAATGATTTGTATGCATTTATTTTAGTGATTAACTGGGACAATGAGGGAAAGAAATCCAACATTACAAAATAGTGATTTATTTTGCTTAGAGTTATGTCAGTATTGTGTAGTGTGGCAGCCTCAGGGAAGTGATGCTTTGCTCTATGTGAGGCTGACAGTGGAACAGTGAATGAGTAAATTAAGTCACTCAATGAATGGTACACTGTGTCTTAAGTATTCAGTTCAGCTGAAAAAAACTGATGCTGTACTAAGCTGAAAACATGGGAGCTGCCTATTTACCAGTCTTTCTTTCTGTTCCCCTCCTTACATGCTATGCTTCCTCTCTTCAACTACAATGGGGTCTTCTCTGAAGATGCTCCAGTGGATTCGATCGCCATCGGCAGGACTGGGTGGATAGTGGATGTCCAGAGGAAGTACAGGTGTGTTCTATTGTAAAGCACTGGGACCAATTTTATATAACTTGTGACTGAAACTTAATTAGAATGGTATCTAATTTAGTAACTGAAAAACTCAAGACATTGAAAGTGAATCCTTAATGTATGCCAAACATTGGGGCTAATGGCTTCCATATATTGCCACAGTTTATTCTTACCCATCCTCTGAAGAGATACTGTTGTCATGAAGAAAATGAAGGAATATGGGAATTCAGTGGCTATGAGAACCCAAAGGATTAGGTACCTATATAGGGAACTGGAGATCCAAGATTTGAATTTGGATGCACAAAGGCAGATTTCCTAAATATTTGCTCTTTTTTGTTCTTTAAGTAGTCATTGCTCCTCTTTTAATCTAAAATAGAAAACTAATGGTATGGGGCAAAAGACTAATTGTAATAAACTACTCTGCTGTAATATACAAGAAGACTTATAACAGTAGGATAATGTAATTATCATTTTTACAAGAAAAAGCCTGTCTAAAGTTTCCCTGAACCTTACTGCCAGTCATTTCAAAGTCCCCTAAGTTTTGTAATGTTCATTAGGTATTTCTTGTCCCTTATTAAATATGAGCATCTGTATGATTGTATGTGCTCCATATGCCCATTATGCTCACAGTGGCCTGAAGAGGGCAACATGCCCCTCAATCAGGAGATGGAGTTACAAGGAGTAGTGAGCCACCTGATGTGGGTGCTGAGATCCAAGTTTCAGTTTTCTCCAAGAGTAGTGTGCACTCTTAACCACTGAGCCATCTCTCCAGAGCCTCCCTTTGTTAAGTTTTAAAGAATAAATTGTAATGACAATTAACAATGACACAAATTTTCTCATCTAGTGAATCTAGTCAAGCCACAGCGCTACTGCAGGAACCACTAGGAATACAGTGGGTTACCTGGAGCTTTGTGAAAATACACTTGAGGTTGGCAGACTCACAAACATCTTGAGAAATACACCTTTGAGAACATTGTGAGGCTCAGAATGCACCTCAGTGAACAGTTGCTTTGCCTGTATTAGGCCCTCAGTCAGATCCCAGTATCACAAAATAAAATTTAAGGTTAATAAATAAAAATGACACTCTTGAAAGTCAACATGGAATATTTGTATAATCCTAGCATACAGGAGGGTGTGAATTTGAGGCTAACCTGAGATACATGGTAAAACGCGCTATCAAAAGTCCTACCTACCAACCAGCCAATATTGTTGAGCTTTTAAGTGCACTATTAATTTGGAAGCTTTAATCTGATTTTTTGACATTCACTTGGGGAATTGGAGTGTTTTACATGAATCATCTATCTCAATTATCTGACACAGTTCCAAAGAAAACACATTAATAAACCCATTTCACATCTTTGTTTTGCTCATTGTCTTAGACTTTCTGCTGCTGCAGTGCAACACCATAACCAAAAAGCAAAATAGGGAGGAAAGTTTATTTGGCTCACGTTTCCATATCACTGTTCATCACTAAAAGAAGTCAGGACAGGAACCCAAACAGGGCAGCAAACTGGAGGCAGGATCTGATACAGACACCATGGAGAGATGCAGTCAACTGGCTTCCTTCCATGGACAGCTCAACCTGCTTTCTTATAGAACCCAAGATCACTAGAGCAGAGATGGCAACTCCCACAATGGGACAGGTCCTCCCCTGCCAATCACCAATAATAATTTAAAAAATGCCCAACATCAGGATCTTATGGAGGCATTTTCTCAGTGGAGGTTTCCTCTTTCAGATAATTCTAGCTTGTGTTCCAAGTTGACATAGGACTAACCAGCACACTCATGTAATCAGATTTTTCTCAAAAGATACTTGAATGTTCATAATTGTGTATAGGTTCAGAATATGATCCAGATATTTTAGTTTTCTTGCTCCAGAGTACCACCCCCCATAAACCATACAAAGCAGAGAAAAGTCTCCTGAATACAATGGTGGATAGTTCTCCATGCTCTGTGGACTGTGATAGCATGAAAGAAGGTCAGAATCTAATGCACTCTGTAATAATCCATGTTTTCTATTTTCTGTAATTAAATTATCCACATCACTAGCTTTGTGGTAAGAAATCCTTGCTTTGCAGGTAAGTATGCAAGTTCATCAACTCAGTCCACTTTTTTTTGCAAAAGATGAGGATGAAATATTATCTTAGGTGTAGGATAGTGAGCTTCAAAAATGAAGAAACCACAAGTATAGAAACTGACACAGATAGGTAGAAAAACATTAATGTTTCTTGGTGATGAATCAAATCTGAGAAGTTGTGTTTTTAATAGGTGAAAACAGCATACAATACTGGGAGCAAACATGCTCTTGGCCATTCACAGTGCTAGTGCTTAAATTTCACAGTGCAATCACTTGTACTCATGTTCATATTATACTTCAGGACTACAGTAGTCTTATTAAAATGTTACAGATTTTTTAAAGAAAATCTAAAATAGTTTCTTTGTTCTCACTTCCATTAAACCAGCTAATTCTTTAACCACTGCCACCATCACAGGAGTCCCCACATTAGTCTAAATAACCCACAGCTCTTGCCTGGACTATCCTGACAGCCGTCATATTGGCCTCCTTGCTTCACAACCTACAGCCATAGTATTTCTTCCCACACAATATGTAGATATTAGCCCTCTGACTAAGAAATTCACCATGCTGTATGTGATGTTCTACTTCACTGAATCAAGTGAGCTCGTGTGCTGCATGTCAAATACATTTCACATTGTACATAGAAGGAACTCCTTAGTTTTATGGCCATGTGTTTTGTTTAAAATTTCTTTTGGTGTGTGTGTGTGTGTGTGTGAGTGTATGGTTGTTTTGCCTGCATATTTTGTTATGTGAGTGAATTGCCAGAAAAGAGCATTAAATCCCCTGGAATGGAAGTTATAGATGCTTGTAAGCAACCACATGGGTTCTAGGAATTAAATCGGGGTCCTCTGGAAGAGCAGTCAATGCTCTTAATTACTGTGCCATGTTTTTAGCCTCTAGTCTAAATATTTTATAAATTTATTCCTCTAAGTATTTTAATTTTTGTCATTCACATTAACCTTTTCATTATAGTGTGAGATGTGTTGGCCCTTTAGTTTCTGAATTTCACTTTAATTTCAGTAGCATGTGCAAGTTGCTCATTGGTTTTGCTAACTCTCTGTCAGACTCTTTTTGCTCATGTTTCTTTTCATTTCCTATAATTAGAAATGTGCATTAATTTCATCTACTCTGTAGGAATTCCCAATGCCTGGGTAGACTATGCCTTGCCAAAGAAAGTTTGCCTATAGGACATGTGGATTTCAGGATACCCCTGGTACTTCCTTCACAGGAGAAAAGAATGTTTATATTTATCTCCCCATCTACTGCTGATGCAAGATTGGTCTCTTTAAGCAATATTGGTATTGGCAGTTTTTCCTCCAGGCCAACTCCATTTTTATATTCGTGCTTTTAAATATTACTTAATGTATTTTTGTTCCTATTGTCTTTAGAGCATATAGGCTTTCTTTGGGAAAGAAGAATAGAAAGATAATTAAAAAGCATGTTTAGAGATTTTCTTTTGTCTTGAAAACACTAATAATGCTTTTAAAATAACCGTCTTCTTTTGTAACTGGAAAAGCAAATCAAATCCAAGATTTCACTTTAAACACAAAGATGTTCAATAATAACTACTCATTGAGAACAGAGAGAAAATTCCATCCCACATGTATATGACATTTCAATAGATGAATGTTTGAGCTTGGCTTTTAAGAGAAGAAGGTCAGCCAGGAATGGTGACACATACCTTCAGTCTGAGCACTCCGTAGGCAGAGACAGGCAGATTTCTGTGAGTTTGAGGCCAGCTTGTTACATAGATTGAGATCCAGGACAACTTTCCTGTCTCAAAAAAAAAAGTAGAAAGTCAACATGAGATGCAGATTTTTAAACACTCAATATCAAGATATTAAGTGCAATCCTGGGTGTAGATATGGAATTGCACAAGAAAACACAGAGTGAAAGGGAAGGTCAAGAAATATACCTAAGAATTGCAAAGCTAAAGGGAGGCAGAATGAAAAGGAAGCAAGGGAACTGTAAGAGAGGAGTCAGAAGATAAGTGAGTATGTGTCACAGAAACCAAGAATGGGCATCTGTGTTCACTAATGTGAATTAGCCATAAATTCCCATTGGGAGATTGAGTAACTATGGAGATACATGGAAACAGTGATAGGAGAAATTGCAAGTTGGACATGGAACAGTAGGATTGTAATTAAGTGGGAAAAAAATGAGAGTCTGAGATGGCCAAGACACACCAGACTGCTAGGAAGTCTGAATATGAATGGATGACAAAGTAGAATAATGCAATGCCAGAATTTTTGTGGAGCAGTGGGGTCATAGAGTGTAAGATTAGGCATGCTTACACATGTTTGAATGCTAACAGTAACAAGTCACCAGAGAATTACAAATGACTGATGCTGAAAGGACAAAATCTCATCCATATACCAAATTCACACACCCCAAGGGAGTGGACTAAATTGAATGCCCCTGGAAAGAATATGAAGATTGGTAGCTGCCCTCTGGAATAGAAGAAATGGGGAAATGTTCAGGAAGAAACAAGTGGGATTTGTAAAGAAATCCTACTGGTTGTCTCAGCAAGGAAATGAAAGGTAAACCCAAGGCAAAACAGGAAGAATAATTCTGGGATTGTAGTTGCTAAGTAGAGTGAAGGAACTGGTACCATGCCTTTGAACATAAGAATGTCCAAATACAAAATCATTTACAGGCACCTCTGATTTTTTGAATGAGAATGCTGACTAGTTTGTGGAGTTTCCAATGAGTGTGACTGTCCTGTCCTGACTGTCTTTGGAGTGGGCAAGGATAAGGAAGATCTGCTGTGTGAAGAATTGGGCATTTTCTAAAAAGGTGCTTAAAAATATGAGATACTTGAAGGTATTCAAAAGTTAGGTGGAGGTTATGGGAAAAGGGGGATTAAAGAAGAGCAATTATTGCTGGGTGTAGGTGGCACACCCCTTTAATCCCAGCACTCTGGAGGCAGAGGCAGGAAGATCTCTGTGAGTTCAAACCAGCCTGGTCTACAGAGCCAGTTCCAGGACAGGATCCAAAGCAATACAGAAAAACTCTATCTTGAAACAAACAAAAACAAAAAGAGCAATTATTGTGATTTCAAGAGAGAAGAATTCCAGTGGAGAGCTATACAAATGGAATGAAATAAGATACATGAGCTATGAGAACTGTTCTAGAGGCTTCCATCAGAGCTAAAGGGATCTTTGGGCCTTTGGAGTTTGAGAAGATACAGCGATTTTAGAGAGAATAAACCTGAACCTCTAGTATACCTGACTAGTGAAAAAGCAGCTTTCCAGGGACCCTTCATTCACTGGTGAAAGGTTCTTCACCCTCCACTAATCACATGACACTGCCTCTGTTTAGAACAGCCAGCCACCTTTTATCAGAGAGATGGAATCTTTGAAGCACAAAGCGGTGTTCACAACATCAACTTCTAACTACAGAATTTGGAGTCCTTACTAGTGAAAATTGTGGGATTTATTTTTTGTAGGTTATTAAAAAAACAAACAAACAGGAAATGTGTTTCTCCCTGGTAGCTTCTGTATAACCCTGTTAGGAAGAATTAGACTGTCTTTAAATGAGGGCTTTATCTGTGTAGTTTTGGATATTTCACAAGAGAAACTGAAATTTAAAATTTCTGTTCAACCTGGAGAAGATTAATTTTGAGGTCATAAAAGAATCTGGGACAATGAGTAAATATTTAAGATACAGAATCTGCCCTTTGTCTATCCAAATAGGTGTTAAAACTTTCCTGTAGGCACAAGCTTTTCTCCTATCTATAACTTCTTTTGCTTTTGATATTACATATTTCATAGATATATCTGTCAAATAAACAAAGGTAAGATAAGGAATAATGCAAAAGGTTAAACAAATGAAAATGAAGATTCCAAACATCTCAAGAACCATGCAAATTGTTGTAATTTGTTACACGTCCCCTCTCTCTTATCTTAAATTCTTTGTAAATCAGCAAAATCAATAAATAGTCTGACACAAAATTAATTTTCTGTTTATATCAATTTGAAATGTTTTTTGTGCTTTGTAGTCCAATTTCTTTGATGTAAGTTTAGAAGACACAAATGTCTTCAGTCTGCTGATTTTCACTTCTGTGTCTCCTACTAGTCAAAAGAGAAGATATGTGAGGGCACAGAACCAGCAGAGACTTCTCAAACCACCACGACCTCACACACAACCACCATGCAATTCAGGGTCCTGACCACCACCAGGAGAGCCGTGACGTCACAGCTGCCCACCAGCCTGCCCACAGAAGGTGCCCACAAGATTCTTAGCTTACTTTGTTATTGGGTAACCCCTAATACTGGAAGAAAATAGTATTGTTTGGCCAATTAACTTTCCAAAGGATTTTCCAGATTTAGAATTATCATGGACTGAAAACATATGCTGGAAGTCTTTATATATAAATGTTCCTCTTGTTAACCCTTAGTTATCCATAATCTGTTTTTGTTTATTTCCCCTAGGAAAGAAATATTTGCTTCTTTTATTGTGACTAAAATTTAGTAGTCATCAGACTACATTCAGGATACAGGATTCAAAAGAAATATGCACAAAAATGACTATTGGTATGAAATTATGAACAATAGATGTTACTCACATATAGTTATATAGTTAGTTATAGTTTCTGAATGTAGTCAATCACAAAGAAACTGTGAACATCACAAAATTGTTTTTGAAGTGGATTTCCTTGTATGGACAAGATAAAACTATTAAAGTGTTAACACCTACGTAAAATTCGTGTGTGGAGAAAATGTAATAGTCAATACTTGATAATTTTCTATGATATATTGTATAATAAGATGTAGGGGGCACAGTATATTTGTTTAGGGGAGAACCTAGTTTTATATACTATTGTCATAAGAATTGCTTTTGGAATAGGAAGTTAAATTTGAAGCCTTAGCTTTTGATTGAAATTTAAGTGAATATTATAAAGTAAGTGGAATAGAGAGAGATGGAGGACAAATGCCAAATACATTGTGTTTCTCTTAAAAGCAACATATACTTAAATTCAAATTATTTGGTTCATTATTCTAAAGATTATGAAAAATGCTTTAATTGAAACCCTAACTTTGAGAGTAAAATACAACTTGAAATGGAAAATTTTACCCCATCTTTATCAATTCAAATAAAAATTTATCCGTAACTGATATAAATATTTTAAGGTAAAACTTTAACTAGTGTGAAATCCTAACTGTCCCTCTTAATTTGTAATATTTTCAGTCTGGATTTCAAGTACATGAAGTCCTATTCTAAGTTGTTTTAGAAAGTTAAAAATCTATTTCATGCTATAACTAGGTTTTTTTTTTAACAATGTCACAGAATTGAGGCTCAGACATGTTACCAATGCCTTAACCTAAACAATCTCTGAGTGAAATTGAAATTCTGTTGCTGTATTCTGTAAACCTGGAGCTTTCTCTCTTACTATGCTGTAAATTACTCTCTAAATTATAAAAGGCAGGTGTTTGAGTTAAGGCAGTTAATTCAGTTACCTAGTATGAGATTTATGCATCTTTAAAATATTTTTTTCTGTTGTAATAACTTCCAACTTCTCTTTCAGATGACACAAAGATAGCACTACATCTCAAAGACAATGGAGGTAAGAGTACATGTCTTTCTTCTATAAATACTTGTAGATACTAATTCATTGTATTCATTTTAATCTGATAAAGGGGTAAGTGGGGTTCCAAAACGGAATGGAGTTAGATTTCCTTCTGATTGGTGTTTAACATGTGAGGAATTCAGTAGGTGTGGCTACAAAACGAAATGAAATAATTCTTGTGTTTGTCTATACAAGTCCATGACCTCAGCCACCATCTATGAGGCCAGACAATCATCTACATATGGCTTGGTTTTGTTGCCCTTGTTCTTAGTCAGTGTATGTATAGTCATCTGCACAGGTGCAGACAGGTGGCTCAAAAGTTTTTTTTTTTTTTCAGACTTGTATGGTTGGTTGCTTTTCACATATAATTAAAAAGTAGGTCAGTAAGAATGGAAATACATTGTGATAGATCTTTTCATCTGTCCTTTGGTGTAAAGGACAAAATGTAATTATTCAAAAGAACATTGTAACAGTAAAAAAGTTTTTCTAACGGAACTCAGAAATATCTATCCTGGTACTTGAAGTTTTGACGAAAAGGGGTTTTTAACTAAACTGATACCATGAAGAATATTATTTAACTTTTTGAAAATTCATTTTTATTAAACTATATTAGCTCATGGGTATGCTAGACATGGATAAAATGTATTTTATGAGAAATTCTTTATTTGGTTCAAGAATGGATTGCTGCTTCTTAATAGTGTCTATCACAAAGGCATGAAAACACTTTGACACTGCCCTATGCATGGGTTACTTCTGTAGTTTTTTATGATTTAATAACTGAAACACACTCATGAGACTGAAGTAGTATAATTATTAGTTAAAGACCAATCTCAGGCAAGTGAGGAGAGCTTTTCTCAAAAATAACAACAACAACAAAAACTGACAGAGAAGGGGGAAGAAAGGAAAAAAGAAAATAAATGATAGATAGATAGACAAATAGATAATTGATAGATAAATTGATAGATAAATGATTGATAGATGATGTAGTTGAGGCTGTTTTCCTTGTAATTGTAGAAAATAGTTCCTAAATTACTCAATCTGTGTTAAATAACCAATGGCAGTGCATTCTCAGATCAATGTTTATGTGTGCACAGCCCAGAGTTTACACCAGCCCATCTAAAAGAAAAACATCATGATTTCTCTGTATGTGTCATTGCACCAGTTGCCCACTGTTTCTTATTTGCCTATAGTGTTTTCATGCATCACTATCTCATTTGTTATTGCATTAAATCAGTAAATTGATGCATTTACAGATAACCATTATGCATTACAGTTGTAAAAATCTAAAATCATAGGTTCCAAAGATGTTAGCAGGCTTCCCAGAGAGGGATGCTGGTAAGTACCTTTGATCCTAAGTCCTAATATCCGGTCAACCCACTCTGGGATAAACAGTCATTTATTCTGTGAAGCGGGGTGTTCATTCACACTGCTTGCCATTTGTTTCTCTAGTCCTCTTTCTTGGTAAAGAAGGCATTCCCAAGAAACTTCTGGGTTTTCTGTTATATTTGTGGTGTTAAAATTCCTAACATAAGTAAAAGTTTGATGTTTGCTGTATTTTCTTTGCTTGTTATTCTGTTTGTTTGCTTATTTAATTTTAAACTGCTTAGAAGATTCCATATTGTTAACAGGAAAAAAAAGGATTCCTATGAACTTTCATTAATACGTATGAGATTCTCTGCATGAATGATTATTAAAGTTTCTTCATAAAGAATTCTTTACAACCTTGGTTCACATACTCATCCATTCTATCTTTTCTTCTGATTGCTTGCTATAGAAACACTGTTGAAGGCTTGAGGCTTATAATAGTGGGTGATTGTTAAACAAATTCTTTACTTCAGTGAATATGCCCTCCAAAAATCCTCAAGATGATTTTGAGGATACTATGTCTGTTGTTTTTCCATTATGTGTCTATAAAATTGTCTTACAAGTAGCCTCTCACAGAAGTGATGTTTTCTAGAATGCACATAGAAAGTAGATCTCTAAGGTATCCCTAATTATTCCCACTAGCATCTTAGTTTTGTTTAAAGCATTGGAAAAGTATACGACAAATTATGTTTTTAAACTGTGCATTAGATATATTGTAAAGGTATAGAGAAAGTTAAATAAACCACATAATAAAAACATGTAGCATTTGGGGTACACTTGACATTGAATTATTGGATTTTTAAATAGCATTTAGATATTTGATAAAACAGGGAGCCATAAGAATGGCAAAATATCACAATAAGTAAGAGCATTCTCCATGCTTCAGAGTGTTTCAAGTGCAGCTACCATAGACCAATCCAAGCTGAAGCAAGCTGTGCCTCTTCTAAGAATGCTTGCCTGCAGACAAAGCTTGATGGGCTCCCTGAAGAACATGCCATGCCAAAGGCCTTGGGGTTTGAGCCCCAGAAACACAGATAAACAGAAAGCACTTAGGAGTTCAGAGTTCAGTTCCTAGAACTCAATCTCAGTAGGATCAAAACTGCTTGTAAAGCTAAGTCCAGGGCATCTGACACCTCTGGTCACTCTGGACACCCATACATTTATACACATAACTAAAATAATAACATAGATATCTTTAAAGTAGTACATAAAGTTAGATTGTCTAGAATAGAGACCCCAATTTCAATCACCAATACCACAAAAAGGAAAACAGAAACAGAATGAAAACAGACAAAGTAAGTCCCTAGCATTCCATGGGGCAGATTAGAGACAGGAATCTATGTAGGAGACTCCTTGTCAGTGATGGCTTTATAAAACTGGTTCTTCCTCACAATACAAGTCTCTTAGGTTTGACCTGAAAATAATAAATGCCAACAATAAGCTATTTTACTTACACCCTGTGCATTGTATTTCTTTTCTGTAATAACTGATTATACTTACTAATATTTAAAACTGAAATTTTCTTTTTATATAATCACATATTCTTTTCCATTTCATCTGTTCTGCTGAGAGCAGCATGCATTAATGCTCCTGTGAAACCCTCCTGCATCGTAATCCGTGGCTTCCAGTCTCCAGAATTCTATAGATATATGTTGTATATTATGTTCAACATTTAATTTCAAGTTCTTTCAGCTTAATTTAATCTAAAGTTCTTGCCTTCTTTAGAAATTCTTGTTTAACACACTTGGAAAGTGAACCTAGATTGTGTTCTTGGAATTCATAAATACGTGGATAATTGTTACAAGCACTTGAAGCAAAGTCTCTTTGGGATTTTCAGATCCCAGGGAGTGTTTATTAGAAGAATGTCTGAACTGTATATATTATCAGGCAAGACTACTAAAGGCCTTTCTGACATTTGAATAGGTTGCCTTCAAATGGCGCTCACCACCTAATTAGAGATATAACTATCTTTGGGATGCAAACTGAACATAGTTATCCAGAAGAGGTCTGTTAGCTGAATCACGGGTGTGATTTTAATTGAAACATAACATTTCAACTCAGAATTCAACTCAATTTGTCTAACCTAACTATGATTTTCTGCTATGCTGCAACTGGGAAATTATTTCAAACTCCATTAGCCTGAAGAGATTTCATTATTTTAAATTGATTATCAGATCTATCGAAGTACCCAAATTGTATTCTTTATTGATTGCCTTGAAGATTTTTCCATTTGATTGAGTTGAATTTCTTTTTTAAAATGTTTGAGCATGAATTTTTAATTACCGATATTTAAAATCAGCCCTGCATACAATCCTGGGATAGAATACACGGTCAAGACAGCCATTCCTTCTTACTGCTGGAAATTTACTAAACCTGCAGCACAGAAGCCTGGCTTTTCTAAGAGAAGATGCATTTGCTACATCGAAACATGTTGATTAAGTTAATTCAGGAGTGAATGACTCTGGAGTTAATGATTGTGAAAAGCCAAACGAGAGATGAGCTTTGATGCTCCTGTGGCTTGTTAAGCTCTCTGTTGTGTTCAGTTTCCTATTTCTGAACTTAATCCTAAGACATTTTGTCTGGAAACAAATGTTAGAGCAGGATCCCGACCTTAACAAAACTGCTTCTCAGGTCCCATTTTTTGTTTAGTCTGTTGTGGCAGATCAAGCCTCTACTGTTACATTTATCCTTCAGTCAAATTATTTTTTGTCTCTCATACATAAATCATCAAAGCAACATGTCTTTCACTGTGTTTGTGTTGCCTTGTTGTGTTTTTCATCTACTTCCTTTGTGTAGATCACAGTCTCAGAAGCAAAGGGAGGCTGTTATTTGCTTTTGACAGGCTATTGAATATCTATCACCTTCTGTTTGGAACACTGTAAAATATTTTGGCATTTTGTTTTATCACTGGCTTTGTTTGGCTACTTTTCATGCTAGCTCTAACGCTATTCTGAGCACATATCTAGTGTAATAGTGAAGACTTCTTATGCTTTGAATGTTTTGAGAGTGCCCCTGGATTAAGGATTTCTCTCTGCAACTATTTTAAAGAGTTGTGGTTCTCATCTCTTTCTGTATAATGAGCTAAGGTTATTGTTTGCTAATTTTATTATCCTGGCTTACATAAATATCCTAAACCAATCCAATTTTAACCTCTATGCTTCAATCACAGAGGTCAATATCCCTACCTGTTACAATAAAAAGCGGTTTGATCAAAACTTTATCAATAAGATAGAACATCAGGAGCATTAGGCTAGAGAATATGTACCCTTTATCTAGGTTTTAGAAGAGAAATGTGGCCTCAGCTAACCAGGAGGATGTGACAGAAAGGCTCACAAACCAAAGCATGCTTGGGCTACAGAGTGAGTTCAAGGCCAGCCTGGACAAACTACTGATAACCTGCATGGAAATAAAAAGTATAAAGAAGACTGAGCATATAGATCAGAGAGATAATGCTTGCTGGGAACATATAAGACTGATACTCTACTTCAGATGGCCTAATGATCCCACTGTATTCCTAACAAACTCTAGACAAATGAAATAGCCACCCCTTCCCAGAATGCACCTGATTATCAAGGGTTGGGAGTGTTTGATTTCTTCAAGCCCAACATTAGAATAAGAATGGCACAGGTATC